TAGCATCCTGATCTCAGACTTCCAGCCTCCAGAGCTGTGAGACATAAATCTCTATTTTTTTATAAGTCACCCAGGCCATGGTCCCATCCAACAAGGGCTTACAGGGTGCCCCACCACTCCGTCCCTCACACTGGGTTGCCCCATTTGTTTGTGCTGCCTGTCAACCCTGCTCAAATACCAGCTCTGTCTCTCGCTGTGTGACCAGTTCCCGCTTTCCTCTCTTGGAATGCGGTATGAACACGGGGGAGTAGAGAGTAGTGGATTCTGGAGCCTGACTGCCTGGGGTCCAACCCCTGCTCTGCCATTTACGAGCTATGGGACCGCAGGTAAGTTACTTGACCTCTCTGTGCCTCAGTTTCCTCCTCTGTCCAATGGGGGTGATAACAGCAGCTTCCTCGTGGAGTTGTTTTGAGGATTAAATGTTTATCTGCCTAAAGCACCAAGATCTGGTGGCTTTCTCAAGGTGCACCTCTCCCCCACACACACACCCCCATCCCCACTCAGCCCCAAGGTCCCAGCAACACCCAACCCCGCTCGGGGCCTCACCTCGCAGCTCCAGTTCCACCAGGCCGCTCTGGTCCTCCAGCCCATCGATGACCTCGCAGCGGTAGCGCCCACAGTCCTCCAGCCGCAGGTCCTGGATCTCCAGGGACACTTGGTGCTCCTCGTCCTGCTGCAGGTGCACGCGGCCTCGGTAATCTCCAAAGGAGCGGTGCCTTAGTCCGATGGCCACCAGCACGTCCTGATCCAGGGTCCCATTCTCTGACAGCTTCCACCATTTGATACGCACGGGCCTGGGGGAGGCCGGGGCCGGCTTGTAGTAGTACCAGCATGGCAGGGTCACGTTGGCCCCTTCGTAGGAGAACAGGGTCTCCTCAGGTGTCTCTACCACCAGCTTCACTTTGTGGAAGAGGCCTGGGGGAGAGGTAGGTGCAGACTGGGACCTGCTGCAGCTCATCTGTGCCGCTGCAATGGCCACCCCTACCTCGCCCCAGCTCCCGCCAGTCTTGTGTGTTAAAAGATTGCAAGGGCCGGCCGAGTGGCGTGTTGGTTAAGAATTGGCTTGGGATGCCAGAGGGCCCCGGTTCAGATCCCACATATGAGGGCCAGTGACACTGCCCTCTACAGCTAAGATGCTGAACAACAGCTCAACNGTGTGTGTGTGTGTGTGTGTGTGTGTGTGTGTGAGTGTGGGTGTGGCAGGCAGTGGGTGCTGTGTGTGGATCTTCGAGTCGGCACCCTATCAAAGAACAACCCAAGTGAGACGTCTGGTTGCTTTGCATAGTTTGCTTCTTTGGTATCACACTGTTTGCTCACACGGAGGAGCCGCCGGTTGGTAGAATGCAACACAGAGCAGGACAGAGAGAAGGGCTGGGATAGAGGAGGGGTGTCACAGCACCGTTTATTGCCTAAAGAAAACGCACAAACCTGAGGATAAAAGCACCAAATGAGACAAATGAAATAAATGAGAACAAAATACAGACTCTGAACCAAGAGAGGAGGGAAGACTGGGAGGGGAATTCCTCCCTTCCCTGGTGTCTCACAGGAGCCCAGGGACCCACCTCCAGCCCTAGCTTCTTAGCAGAGAAGTCGGAGCGGACAAGAGATGGCGAGGTCCAAAGCCCAGCTCAGAGCCCGCTGGACGTCCTCTCCCCGCTCCAGGCTGAAGTAGGGGAAGAGCTGCAGCAGCCATTATGCCCTCACCCCTCTGTCTATACCCGCTCTGGGCATCAGCCTCCCCCGGGGCAGGGGAAGTGGCTGGACTCAGTGCCAACAGGGAGCCCCCATGAGCCCAGGAACATCTGTCCCAGAGGAGGGAGGCAGGAGGATTCCCGGTTGGGGGAGCCTTGGGGTATCCACCTGAGCAAAGGGAGAATTTGGTAACTGGTGGATTTACAAAAATTGTCATTTTTTAAAACGTAATCTGAGAACTCTGAAAATTGCCCCAAGCCACAAGGGAAAATACACTACAAATAAATACAGCCCTTGAGGGAGGGGCTGGGCGGGTAGGGAGCTGGTGCCCAGGCTCTAGCGTGGATGGTAGCAGTAGACGCCATACTTGCGGCTCTGAGGGTCTGGGAATCCGAAGCTCTGGACGCCAGGCTCCAGGGGCCCGCAGTTGGGACGTGGGTGAACCACAGGGTAGCGGACACTGCCATCTGCCAGCCAGCCAGCGTCGCAGTGATCCAGGCCACGGAACTTCCAGGCGGCAAAGAGCTGGCCCACCTTGGCAATCTGGGCACCATCTTCCTGGCATGCCTCCTTTGCCTCTTCCAGTGTCAGCTTCTCAGGGTGCTGCAGGTAGTACACCTGCCCTGTGGGAAAGTGGGGCATGAGGGCTGGGCAGCAGAGGGGACAGCCCGAGAGGACAGCAGGGCCTGCAGCAATGTCATCTCGTCCGGACGTCACGGACCAGCCTCCAAAGACCTGTCAAGTACCTGAGCCCAGGGAGCCACCGTGCTGTGGACATGTGCAGCGGACACTGTTGCGGGGGTACCCTCCCAGTCCTCACCCTCTCTCTGAGAGCTCCATCCCCTCCTATCACGTGTGTACTCCCCCCCACCCCTTCCTAATTGCACCCTGGGTGGGCACCCCACCTAGGCTGGAAAATCAGTCTCTCACCCATTCAGTCATTTACTGAGTACCTAAGATGAGCCAGGCACTGTTTTAGATGCTTGAGGTATGGCATTGAACCAATTTCTGTTTGTTTGTTTGTTTGTTTGTTTGTTTGTTTGTTTGTTTGTTTGTTTTTAAAAGATTTTATTGGGAAATTGGGTAAGGAGAACAGCCAGGTTGTTGTCCTTCAATCTTATTTGTGGAGGGTGCAGCTAGCTCAGCTACAAGTCCAGTCACCATCCGGCCACCCGTCGGCCACTCAGCTTAAGGTGCCGTGTTCAATCTTAGTTATGTGTGGACGTAGCCCACCATCCCATGTGGGAATCGAACCAGCAACCTTGTTGTTAGGAGCAGGTGCTCTCACCAGCTGAGCCATCCTGCCACCTGTTGGCAGCTCAGTGGCAGCTCAGCTTGGGCGCAGCTCACTGGCCCACGTGGTAATCAAACCGGCAACCCTGTTGCTCAGACCTCGTGCTCTTAACCAACTGAGCCACTCAGCCAGTCCAACCAATTTCTGTTTTCACTTGTCTATCTTCCCATGAAATGAGCCACTTGTAAGGACAGGCTGTGTTTACTTGCCTGTGTCACCCAGGACCTGGTCCAAGCTCCAGCACATCGTAGGCACTCAGGACATGTTTGATGAATGAGTAAACCAATGACTGGTGTGAACAGCAGCCTCAAAGCCCTCCAACTCAGCAGCACACAGCTTTAACATCTGCGGTGCTCCAGGTGGAGGTGCCCAGGGGCAGGCAGAAAGGCCCTGCCCACCACTAGCTGTGCCCCACCATCCCACTCACCCTTGAGGGCAGCAGCAAAGCAGAACACGTCATAGCGATGTAGACGGCGGTGGCGTGGGCCATAGCTGCGCACGCCGGGTGCCAGGCTCAAGCCCCCACAGGGCTGCCGGGCCCGTGTGATGGGGTACCGCACCGAGGCGTCCTGCAGCCAGCCCGCGTTGCACCAGTCCAGGCCCTCCTCCCAGGCCCGGAACAGCTGCTCAAAGGAGGCCATCACCGCATCCTGCTCCTCACAGGCCTGCTGGGCCTCGTAGAAAGTAAGCTGGTAGCGCCCCTGGCGGGACTGGTAGGGAAAGACTACGCCTGGGGAAGGAGGAAAGACGCTTGGAGGGGTGGGCAGATGGCCAACTGCCTAAAGACCCCAGTCCTCTGCCCCTACCTCCACTGGGACAGATGCTCCCCAACACACACACACACACACACACACACACACACACACACACACACACACATGACAGAAGCTCAGCAAACCTGTCCATTGTCCAAGTCCAAGGCTGACCT